GCTAGCCTCAAACTCATTATATAGCATAGGATGGTTTTGAGTTCCTGACTCTCTTGCTGCTACCTCCCAAGTCATGGCCAGAAGGGCTATCAGCATAGAAGAATCACTAACACAAACACCAGAAACAGATCTTTCTCCTTGAATACTTTCTCCAGTCCTCAGAAGTTTTCAGCCTATCCTATTTAAGTCTTCATCTTTGGCCTGAAAAACTGAAAGGGAAAAAAAATGTAGAATAAGGGCCAAACAAGAGTAGCCTCAGGCAAAATATATATTAATATTTCAACAAACTCAAAATATTATACATATCTTGGTTGAGAGAGCTGGAGATTGAAATCACTGGTATCTAAGGTGAGGAGGGAGAGAGCTGGGAAATCCACACTGAGTCTTAAGCAAGAATTTTGCAAATGGAGCAAATGAAACTCCAAGTCAATTAAAAAGCAAATGTGCTATTTCAAACACTATAAAAACAAGAAATCTAGAAATGGACAGAGCCCAGGAAATGGACCCAGAACCTTTTTGTGCAGCTTTTCCAAGTGGTGCTGATTTTTATTTCAGCTTGACTAGAAACTGGACAAATTAGCAATAGCTTCTACTTTTATGAAATTCTGCAGAGAAACACTGCTATCAATTCAAGAGTTAACTCTGAAGATAGGGAAAGCAGACAACTTGCCATGCATCTTAACATTCCCCTTTCTTCCAATGACTCAAACATTCACACTGCTATTCCTTAAGGGCTAGCTTCTACCATCAAGGCTACAGACAGAGTGCTTGCCTAGCATGTGTAAGGCCCTGGGTTCAAATGCCAGCACTACTATAAAACAAAAACTAGTTTTTCATATAACCTAGGCTCATTCTTACATCTCTGACTGTCTACATGCCTACTGCAGAGCAGTACTGAAAGACCTCTAAAAACGTGTCCAACTAGTGATGTAAATTTCAGAAACTAGTTAAGATTTTTAAATATTAAAAAAGTTTGAAAATATAAGGAAGATCTTTCAGTGAACTGACTGAAATTGTTATTAAAGTCATTATTAAAAATAGCTGTTGGGCAGGGTGTGGTGGCAAATGCCTTTAGTCCCAGCACTCAGGAGGCAGAGGCAGGCAGATCTCTGTGAGATGAAGGCCAGCCTGGTCTACATAGCCAGCTGGGGCTACAGAGAGACCCTGTTCACAAAAACGAACGAACAAAAAACATAGCTGTTGGTGGTGGGGTTTTTAGCTGGAAGGCTCAATCTTTAACAGTACTGGCTGCTCTTGCACATACATGCAAGCAAAACACATAAAAATAAAAATAATTTAAAAAATTCAAATAGCTGTTGGAGTGAAAAGTCTGTCCTCTATTAACTAATAAAGATGATCATCAAAAATCTCCACCCAACAGTAATGAAAAGACAGAAAATAGTTATTTCAAAATGATTTACCCAGAACTGGGGTCACTTAAAATGTCCATGGAAAAGAATCACCTGGGGGAAAAAAAAACCAGTATTGTAGCCATGTTACTACTTAACCTGCCATTCTCTAAATTCCACCTGCTCTGTCTGTTAAGTTTAAAATAGAACGTCAGAACGTCTCACAGATTTATGATCCCGGGAATTTGGTGATCGCTTAGGTACTAAAAGAAGTCAGCAATGACCCCACAGGATTTCCTAATTTCCTGGGCTCTTAGACAAGCTGACTTTTACAAGATACAACCAAGTTTGTATGCAAAAGGAAAAGATTAATTCCTTTGAGTCTTAAAAAGAATGGGACAATAGTTTCCTTGCAGCAAACCAATTTTGCCTGATCTTTAAAGGCTTAAACCATTGTGACCCCCTGTTGTCAAAGGATGGGATGCTAATTTGCCAAACTCCAAAGCCCTGGAATCATAAGCTGATTAGAGAATAGGGGATTGATAAACATTTTGTGGAATAAATAAACTAGATCAAAGGATGGAAGACTAAGTAAGATCCTAAATAAACCGCCTCTGTAAAGTGTACAGAGCTAGGATTTAGAAAGAAGTGACTAAATTTCAAAGTTATTTAAAATAGGATCCACGTGACCCTAACAGTTAATGAAGTAAAGTTATATCTATACTACAAAATACACAAGAAGCAAGAAAAGAAGCTGGCTAACACAACTACAAATAGAAAACCTTGTATAAAAAACAAAGTCAAGTGTGACTGATTTACAAGCATACTAATTGTTAGATATTGCTTATGCACATATTTACAGGTGTGTCGGTCCAAATAGACACCACAGATGCCTATATTCTATGTATAGACTAAGATACTTTAAACTATCATCATTCAAGTTGAGCATCCCTAATCCAAAAATCCAGCATCTGCAATGTTCCAAAATCCAAAACTTTTTCAGCACCAATACGATCCCACAGTGGAAAATTCCACACTGACCTCATGTGACCAGCAGAGGCCAAGATGCGGGTACACTAAAAACGCTGCATGAAATTACCTGTATGGTATCAGGTACAAATGAAACACATACAAATTCTATTTAGACTTAGGTCTCCTCCCCCAAGAGGTCTTATTATGTCTCTATGCAAATATTCTAAAAGCTCAGGAATCCCAAGCACTTCTGCTCCCAAGCATTTTTTAAGTAGAAATTCAGCCTGTTCTAAAAGCTACAAGTCTGAATAGTAGCAACGCAATTGTAACAATGCAGGGTTAATGATTCTTTATTGTCTTGCACTTGCAATATGTTAGTAAAAGATTTTGATGGCAGGACTGAGCGCACCAACCTCCCAGAGAATAAGTTAATTTTATCCAGTTTTCCACAAGACAAAGGAGGGTCATTACAAAAGGATTCACAAATGAAATCTTCCTGGAGTGCCAGTTCACCTAAATAACCTCAAACGCTGTTCAAACTACCCCAAATTATTTTACATACATACCTCTTAAGGAAAGCATATGAGAAGATAAAAGGATCCTGTGTGTTGTATTTAATATCTGTCTAACCACCAACGGATCCTCGAGGTCATTCCTCTTTTAATCAGTTGGTTAATTAGTTCTCCACCACAAACTCAGAAAACAACTTGGTTATTTTGCTAGATGAAGCCACAACATTTTCCAGTTCTGAAATATATGTCTATCAACAGGTTTATGTGCCGCTGGATATCAAACAATATATTGTGCGCCCCCTGCTGGCGAATGTTAAAAAAATAACAAATTTCCCCGGGGACATGCCTTTGAAGACGTGCTGGGGTTCAAAACTAAGTTTGTGATTTTGAGATCTCAAAACATGAGTTGAACCAACAGTTGTTAAGCAAAGCTGACGTGCGATGGTCAGATTCTATCACAACAGGAAGATTTAAAGTTGACAGGCCACAAAGTGAAGGGCAAAAATATAGCATCAGCCTTGAAACCCTAAACAATGCAGAATTGAAGCCAAACATTAAGAAAAAGAGCAACATCCTTTAGCTGACACAATGGCATGAAATCAATTCCTCTTTAATAGCTCTTAAGGGGGTAAGAATTATTTCCCTACCTCCTGTGCCAACGTCAAGCTGTTTCCTAAGGAAGCCCAGTAACCTTGATCAACAATGTCTGGTGGATTAATAAAAGAAATTAAGAATAAAGATCCAAATTAACACAAGTCAGAGTTCTATTTATAATTATTTGAAGTCAAGCCTGGAAGAGCTGGAATTTGGCTCCTGGAAAATATATGATCAACTAAATTAATCGTATTTTATCTGTGTTCTAAAAGCTGTATTCATCTCAGACAGGAAGAGGGGTGATAACAGAGGGTCAAGGAGTTACTGCGCACACATCTAGCAGCACTTAAGACCAAGGAGTTAAAACTAACAGAAAAGTTGTATGACCGTGGACAAATAATGCAGCCTCTCGTGTTCGGACTGTAAAATAGAACTATTAAAACCACTTTCAAGCACAGAGTTCTGCTTAAGTTCGACTGTGTCTGTGAAGACACCGACACACTGTAAGGGCTCAATTCACGCCAGTATTCTATCACCCAAAAAGAAACAGCTGGTTTCTCACTGAAGTAACTGCCCCTAGTCTCAAGTACCATTCCGGGAATAGTAAAGGATTCTGATATGTTTTCTGGCGTGTGATGACTTCTTCCAAGCTGCTCACTTCTTCCAAAGAAGATGAAACAAAAATGTCCGGGTCTCCATATCCGTTTGTCACGCGAACTCCTTACCCTCCTGGGTCTCCTGTCACCGCAGGGTGCTGACACCTGTGCAGCGCTTCGGCGGCGCCAGGAAACCGTCCTAATAGCTAATACCTAGGCAATCCTTCAAAACTTCCACGTGGGACCCGCACGGTTCCTTCCATTTGACAGCTAAGGAGATGGAGCGACTTTCTCTGTGTGGACACTCAACCTACCAGGTTCTAATCTGCCAAAGTAGTTCAGGATGGACACGCTAGGTGCCTGCACTACTACACGGGATGCTGGAAAGTGGGAAAAATGCCCTAATAAGAGCAAGTCTGCAAGCAGATTCTTCTAACAACAGTCCAAGATTTCCAAGTGGGTCCCACACCAAGCCAGCCTTCAAAGCAAGCCGGGAGTGCGGCTGAGTTAACCCGGGCGCGTTCTTCGCGGGGGTCTCGGGCTGCAGTTCCCGGAGCCAGGGCCCGGCCGGCGGGGACCCGGGGCTGGCGGCCGCACGCGTGTCCCGCAGTTGCGGCCTCTCCGTCCATCACCGGTGAACTTAAACCCACAGCAGACCCTTCCCACCCACGCTGTCACGCGCCGGGAGCGCAGAGGCCCGCGCGCAGTGCAGGGGACCCGGGAGAGGAAGCGTGCGGGCGGGGTGGGGAACTCCTCCCCGGCTCTGCGCGCTGTCCGGAGCGCTGTCCACCAGGGACGATAGCGGATCCCAGGTCTGCCCAGCATCATCCCGGCCCGCTCAGAGCCACTGTCCCAAGGTCGGGGTCTGGAGGGCCGGGGCGACCCCCGGAACGCAGGCGCCGGGCAGCAGCGCGCAGTTTGCAAAGCCGGCGGCTGGGAGGCTGCAGCTGCAGCTGCCGGGCCGAGCCCGCACGTACCTCGGAGGCTGCGTGTCCGGAGCCGATCCACCCTCCACAGGCTGCAGGGGAAGCCGAGGCAAGTCTCCCCGCCCAGGGCTCGCAGGAGGCGGCGAGCTTTGCAGTTGCAGCAACTACGCCATCCGGACCCCGCAGGGGACCGTCACCTCCTGCCGGGAGCTCCGGGAATCGCACTGGGAAAGTGGCCCGGCGGGAGAGCAGTCCACTTCCCTCCCTTTCTCTCTCTCTCTTACTGCCAAGAGAGAGGAAAGTGGCGCTCCGTGTCCCGGAAAGCCTGGATCACCCCCATCGGGCCGCGGCGCCCTGGCTCTGCAGCGCACACGCGCGGGCGGGGTCGGGCGCTCAGCCACAGCAATCAGCGCGCGGGGGGAAGGGCGCCGCGGCCACTGGGGTCGGGCCGCCCAGAAACTCCTCCTCCAGCGTCCTCTCTCCTCCCCTCCGCCTCCCTAGCTGATGGATGAGCCCCGAGAGCCTGCTCCAGCCTGTGAATCCCTTCCGGTAGAGAAGGCAAGGCTGGAACTCCGGGTGCCGCCCAGGACCGGGCGTCCAGGATGGTGTGGCAGATGGGAGTCCCTTCTGGGAAGAAGAGCTGGGTCCAGGGGGTGCGTTGTCCTGGGAAGAAGAGTTGGGTCCAAGGGGTGGGTCGCATACTGCAGGGACTCGCTGCCTTTAACTAGATCCTTCAGACTTGCCAGGGAATCTCTGGAGCAGGCAGGGCTTTTACTTGGTTCTTTGGTGTTTATCCAAAATTTAAAACTTTACAGAAGTCCTCTCCTCATCTCAGCACACACAGAGACACGCTCATTCTGCCCGTTTTTGTTCCTAATCGCCAAGCCTGGTTATCTGAAGATAGCTCTGATGGAGGGCGCCAGCGGAGTCTTGCTTCTTCCTCTCCAACAGCCCAGAGCGCCTTACCAAGCTTTTGCCCTTCTAGCTAAACAACTTCCTAGGAAAAATAGAATAGAGCAGCGTGACTGATTCCCCCAAAGTCCGCACGATGTAAGGACAGGTGCGCCAGCCAGGTTCTGCATGCGTGTGCCTGTGAACTGCACCTTGCAAGAGTATGCAGTAACCAACACACTTTGATACTCCTGTTTACATCCCGCTTTCCTATTAAAAAGTGTATTGACTGGGGATGTAGTTTGGTAAGGTGCTTGTAGAGCATCCACAAAGCCCTGGCTTTCATCTCCAGCACCCACCACATAAACCCAAGTGTATAGGCAGGAGAATCAAGAGTTCAAGGTCATCCTCGGCTACATAGTTTGAAGCTAGCCTGGAATGAGATCTGGCTATAGATAAATAGATGATGATAGATAGATGATAGATAGATGATAGATTGATTGATAGATAGATAGATAGATAGATAGATAGATAGATAGATAGATAGATAGATAATAAAATGTTTACTTTACAAGAAACTCTAATTTTTAAAATTACATTTCATGTATTGTGTGTGTTTCGTGGCGGGCATAGGGAGGGCAGAAGACAACCTTCTCTCCTACCACATAGGTCCCAAGAATCAAACTCAGGTCCAGGTAGTCAGACTTGGAAAGTACCTTTACCCCCTGATTTACCTCACAGGCCATTTTTAACAGGAAACCATTTTACAGGTGAAATAGCAGGTGGAATAACTGAAGTGACCAGGGTTCAAAGATGGATTTCCAGTCTTAACTGGCTACTGGATAACCAGGTGGCCTTTGCACAAACAAGAAACTCCACCTAGACATCTTCCAAAAGTACTAGGATTTTAGGCATTTAATATGGTGCACAATAGAATAGGGTGGCCTTAAAAAAGAGATAGTCTCATGCAGCCCAGGCTGGCCTCCAACTCAGTAGGTAGTAGAGCCTGACTGAACTCCTGATCTTCCTGCCTCCACCTCACTTCCAAATTGCAAGGTGTAGGCCAGCCAGCACCCCAGGATGGTTTATTTTTATTTTGAGACAGAGGCTCGTGTAGCCCAGGCTTGCCTGGAACTCGCTATGTAGCCAAAAATGGCCTTGAACTTAAGGTCTTCTTGAGTCTGGCTCCAGTTCTGGGATCATAGATGCATGCCACCACACCTGGCTTTATGTGGTGCTAGGGATAGAACACAACTCCATGCATGCTAGGCAAGTACTCTAACTACTGAGCTATATCTCCAGCCCATAACTAAACTCATATTACTATTTGGAAAGTTACTGGAGTCCCCTTCTTTTAAGAAAACAGGAAATACAATTTTAAAATTCTTTCTTTTGTATTTTTGTATGTATCTGATGTATAGATACATAGATTCATTCCCAAAAGCTGTCATTGATGAAATGAATTACTGTGAAAACCTCCTCATTGATACCTTGCTAACATGTACTGAGCACTGTGTGAGAGAGGTGAGTTAGGCATTAGGAACACAAATGGGCATAATATCCAAAAGGAACAAAGCCCAGGAGCTAGTTAATGTAGGCTTAAGTACAGTCCAACTTTAAAGGCAGAAGATTTCACCAGACTGAAATTACAAAGTATTCGTGCCTCAAGTTATCAAGGTTTAGTTTCAGGTGCTTGCATAGATGAACTCTTGAATTGGGTGTGACTACTTAATTCTACATTTAAATGAATCAATCACACTTTCTAAATTAAAATGGTCTGACAAGTACGGTCTGGCTAAGGCGGGAGGATTGTGAGTTTCAGGCCAACCTGGTCTAATATAACAGACTGAGGAGGGAGAGAGGGAGGGAGAGCGAGAGAGACCTGACAAAGGCCTTACCTTTAAAGAGTGACGAAGTACCTGTTCTCCATAGAGTCAGATTCACAATTACATTGACAGTAACTCTTAGTCAAGCAGGATACTAAATGTTTGGTATGAGCGTGTTTTCATATGAACACAGCTCTACCAGCCAAGGCCTCATAACTTGCCAAAATAGTTTAGCTGATAAGAACATTCGCCTACCTCAAGCTCAGATCCATAACCACCATGCTCTATTGCTTATCCCAAAAGCTTTCGGACTGACATTAGAGGGCTTTAAAAAGAATGTAGGTGTGCTTGATTCATTTCTGTAAACGACATTAAAAAAAAAAAACACAAGCTATTAGTATTCATAAAACTAACAACATATATATATA